GTAGTGGCGTCGTTGAGTCGGCGGTAATCCCCGCACGGGCGGAACCCGCTGTTCGGTTTGGGGACGACGTGCAGGGGAGAAGCCCAAGGACTGTCGGAGCGGCGGACAATGCCCAGGCGCTCCATGGTTGCGAACTCCGCCCTCGCTACAGCCAGCTTAGAAGGGTTTAACCACCGGACCCTGGCGTAGACAGGAGGCCCCTCGGTAGTGACGTGGTGCTCCACGCCATGCTTAGTGGTAAGCGCAGAGAAGGTGGGCAGTGACAGGTCTGGAAACTCGGCCAACAGTCTGAGAAACGTGTCTGCCGCCGACAGAGAGCCGACAGCCAAGTGTGCACACGAGGGAAGAAAACGTTAAGGCATCAACCAAACGCCTATTCTTCACGTCCACTAAGAGTCCATGAGCACACAAAAAACCGCTCCGAGGAGGGGAAAATAAATGTCCGCTGTCACAAAATCCCAGCTGAAACGCTGTCCTCCGATGCACAAACACATAGGCCTCACGCCGTACGTGCGAATGGGACCACCGTTAGCCGTCGTCAATCGCGGTCCGTGCCCACCCCGGGTGACGTCTTCACTCGACGCTGGAACTACGCTCCTTTGAGCGCCCGTGTCACACAGAAACAGGCTCCCCGAAACGCTGTCGCTGACAAAGAGGAGCCTGATGCCACTACTGAGCGCCGGCCCCTCCGTTTCCCGGGGGTTTGTAGCTGCACGGGGCGATGCATTTCTTCGCCATTGTCCCGAAACGTGCGTGGTACTCGATACAGCCGTGTCCTGCCTCCGCCACGCTTTCTTGACTGCAGATGGGCCGCTGAGCGTCACGGCTAACGTCTCTGCACCGGGCTGTTGTGTAGCCAGGAAAAAACGATCTGCTTCCTCAGCCAAGGCACGGGGCTCCGTGACAGGCATGTTGGCCAGCGCCGTCTGGACCCGGGGAGGCAAGTGACGCAGGAAAATCTCTGTGAATAATATCCGGGGATCTTCCCCCCCTACCAGATTTAGCATTTTCTCCATTAGCTGGGAAGGCTTGCTGTCTCCTAGGCCTTGAATGTCAAGTATCTGGCGGGCCCTCTCCTTAGCAGATAAGCTAAATGTCTTAAGGAGAAGGGCCTTAATCGCCTCATATTTGCCATGATGTGGGGGGTCTGTGATAAATCCCACCAACCTGGACGACGTGGAGCTCCCCAGCGCTGCTACCACATGGTAGTATTTCAGGTCCCCGACACGGACCTGTCGGCAGGCGAAATGTGCCTCCACGTGTGCGAACCATGCCTCCGCGATGTGCTCCCAGAATTCCGGCAGCTTTATGAAAACATCGCGCTCAGCCATGTTCGTTAATTTTCCGGAAACTTTCTCGGAAAAGTCAGGGTCACCAGTGTAGTGCCGTGAAAAGAGAGTCGGAGGCAGTGTATTAAGAATGGAGTTCCAATCTTTATTATCCATTACTATCAGAGAGGTTAACACATGCACTGCTCTGCCTGATGAGCTAGCAGGAATGGCAGCTAACGCTACAGGTGTTCCCCACTAAAGGGTCCGTGTGGCAACACAATAAGCAAGGTGAATTATGTCCAATAACGTGTCACCACAATATAAACATATTCTCCATCTTATATTTATTCTTAGGCAGAATGCTTTTAATGCAACACCACTGAGAGGCTTAATAATAATGGTGATCATGGCCTGTGATAACTTTTCATTAAATTGTGTATTATACGCCACATTAATTTGCAATTAATTCACCAGATGATTAATCCCTTCTCATGTGATGTTCGTAAACAGTGGCGGTGATTGCCATGCAAAATGCAACATGTGGAGCATTAAAGTCAATTGAAATGGCTGTTGTTTTACAACATCCACATCTGCTCTGTAAATCACCTGTCCTAGGTACTCGCACATTTATTTATATTGTAGTTTAATGACGGCTATAGACTTCACAAGAACAACCAACTTTCCTACTAAAAACTCCCTCTTACAAACATGGACATGCATCTTAGCTTGTTGAACTAGCCACCAAACAAAGATTTACCTGGGAAAAATGCACAGCTAACCTCAGTTTGCAGCACAGAAACCGCATTTTGACTTACCAGCATGAGTGACTTTAGTCCAGTCAGCTGTTGTTGTGTTCCTTACTCCTCCTTACACAGACTGATTCAATGCCCACTAACTTGATACATCCATGCTAACAACACGCTGTCCGTCAATCACATACTGACTGGCAGCCTTCCAACTGCTGTCAATCAAACATTGACACTGACACGCCTCCCCTTAAAAGGAATTTCTGGTATTTCCTCAAATACCTGTCTTTCTTCCTTTTAAATAATGAAAAACTACTTGCGCAAAATACGTTCACAATATCAGTGATAACAACATTTGATGTCTTGCACTTGAAAGAGACAATCACGTTTCAGCTATTTCGTTTTTTCTTACCAGATATGCATTTAGTTTGGGTTTTGAACAAATACAAATTAAAGCACAGAGGCTTCACAGCATTGGGAATACTTGTTGAATGTATTTAACTGTTCATTTATTGTTTTGTGTATCATTGAATGCAGTGGCGGTTCTAGACCAATTTGAGTGGGGGGGCCACTGGGGGGTCAGTTATTTTCTGAGGGGGGCACAATAAATGCAGGACGAAAAAGAGAACTAGACAGTACGAAGTAATTGCGCATAAGAAAACAATGCAATACAGTTATTGGTATTTGTTTCAGTACACTTATTTATTTCAGATAGATCTTATACTGTTAGCTTCAGCATTACATTTATACATTAAATCCACAGAACATGATTTAATGCAAAAGTTTACAAATCTTAAATGTTGACTTTAAATGAAATAAAATACATGGATATAGATAGAAAACATAGATTTCAGATGTATTATTTCCCATAAGCACAGACAAGTAGGCTATTTAACAAACATGAAGACTGAACACACCTGTTCTGCACACGCACCAATCAGTTTCGTCTATTCCGTCACATTTCTAATAAACATAAAACAGTGATATCTGGAAAACACACAGATAGTTTCCTTCCCAAAACGTCCCATTACAGCAACATAATCCTGCGGTTTTTGTGATTTTTGGAAAACCGATCAACAAATAAGTCAAGATTCAAAGCCTTTGACCTCCTTGACTCAATACTAAGCACACCCAGATTGCTCAGTCTCACCATTGATGGTGGATCTGAGAAACATTTTGACCAGCTTCAACGTAGAAAAACTACGCTCACAGGAAGCAGAACTGACTGGGATTGTGACTGCTATTTTGCAGAGTCTGAAGAGCTCAAAAAACACTTCTTTATAAGGTTCAATGAACTGAACAAGCTCCACTGTACTATCAGATCTCTGCATCCCAGTCTTTATTTTCCTATCTAACATTCTGCTGAACTGATGTAGCTCATGCCCCAAGTCCTCAATATTTGCATCATACTGAGCAAATGAAAACAGAGTTGTCTCCTTCAGAAATGCATCACTTTTGGGGTTAAGAGCTTGGATGCTATTCATCATGTCACAGTTTGTGTTTGAAAACCGTCTATTAAGCTCATTGAGCATCTGATCAATGACAGGGTAGAAAAAGGCTGTACAAAACCCGTGTTTATCTTGTTCTGTCTCTCTCTGTCCAACAGTAGTCAGTACGAAGCTTTCAGCAAGTTTAGAGCTCAATCTTTTTGGTCGTTTTGCTGCTGGCTGTATTGCAGTATCACATTGCTCAGAAATGTTCAACACTTCATCCCACAAGTTATCAAAAAATGACTCCTGTCTGAAGTCATTCAATGTCTGAACTAAAGATTCAACTAAATCCACAGCCTTTGAAAGGTCAAGGGATGAAGACTATAACCAGGGCTGCACATAACTGGTGCGCATGCGCACCTCCGCCAAAAAAAGCGCACCGGGTCATTTGAAAAAAGGCGCATTTGCGTACCAAAATTGAGAGAGGGAGAGAGAGAAGAGAAAGAAGGGAGGAGAGAGGAGAGAGAGAGAAAGATATTTGCGAGTTGCATATGAACTCAGGGTCGGCCCGTAGCACTGGCGTTATAGATGTTCGCCTAGGGCGCCAGATCTGTGGAGGCACTGCGCTGACAGCTCTGGGAGGGAAAAAAACATTTTTGACCATTGGGGCTCATCCTAATTTTCGGCCTTGATGTAACAATATTCATAATTAAGTAAATGTAACACCCTTTTCACCCCGGTTACACGTTTAATTTGCCCTGTACGATGGGCGCTGTAAGTGATGAAAATGGGGGATGTTGGCTTATCTGGCGCCCGCAGCTCACAGCCAAAGTGCGAGTGAGCGTGGGAGAGAGGGAGGGCGCACCGCCCGGTACCGGCGCTGTTGTTATTAGAATCTGGTGCTAGCTGCTATAACGGATGTTAGAAGAAGATGTTTCTACAATAATGTGGAGGGAGAGTCCTCTCCAGTCAGACTGAGAGGCTGATAACTACAGCTCAGTGAGGTAAAGGACTCTGAGTGTTTAGATAGTTCACTTTAGTCTAAGTTCAAACTGTTTGGTCACAATTTATGTAAACACATATTTCCAAGGCACTCCTTTATAATTATTGGGATAAACACGTTTGAAATCATTCCAATGTATACTATAGGACAGTAACCAAAAACATCCTTTAAAACTGGAGAGATCAAAAAAAAAATGCATAAATAAATATTAAGGTAAAATAAGATATGAATGAACAACACAAATAAAATAAGTTACATTAATTTGTTATTGGCTATGGTAGGTTATTGGTTATGTTCACATATTTATTTGATTACATCCACTTTTCTAAGATGACAACAGCGACTTTCGACCCAAAACCAGCTGTTGACTTGTGGATGCAAGCAGCTAATCGCAGACTCAACCAGAGAGAAAGTAGTAGGCCTACATCATCAGCTACCATGTCTGACAGAGAGGAAGACAGTGAGAACAGTCAGGAGGGTAGTGATGACAGCTAGGATTACTGGTCGTGCTAATGTTGTCTTGTGTTCACCTCTGCATGTGTGTTCTGTGTTCACCTCTGCACGTGTGTTCAGTGCCGTGTGTCTGGCAAATAAAGTCAAGACCCCCTCAAAAGTTACGGTTTATTTCATTTTAAGGATGAACACCAAGCAACATCTCCAGGTCCTCCTTTGAGAACCAGGGCAAAAAAGTTATGTGCACCCCTGACTATAACATGTCAGAGAGACATTTTGTTTCTGCAAACACTTTACGGAGTGTTACAAGATGCACAATGAATTCTAGATCCAACTGTGCCAGCAGACCACGTGCCTCAATAGATCTCTCACCATTGCGTTCTTGGGCTATGTCTTGCAGTACTCGCTTGAGGGCCGGTAATCTATCCATTATGTTACGGAGAGATATAAATCTGCATGCCCATCTAGTGTCACTCAATCGCTGGAGTTCTCTTGGGGCACCTTCGTACATCTCTCTTTGGATATCTAGCCATTTGGGGTGGACATACGACCCAGATGTGAAGACGTATAGCTTTTCTAGTAAGGAGAAGAACTGCTCTGCTTCTGGGACAGCTTTGACTGTATCTACTAAAACTAGATTTAGACAGTGAGCATTGCAATGAACATAAAAAGAATATTTAGCTTGCTCTCTGATTCTAGCCTGGACCCCTGAGTGCTTACCGCTCATGACAGCAGCACCATCATATGCTTGGCCTACAAGGTTGTTTTTGTATTCCAGACCGTTACTTTCCAATATGTGAATTATTTTTTCAGTAAGCCCTGCTGTATCTAGCCTCTCTGCTGACTCAAAATGGAGAAAACTCTCCTGGATAGCACCATTGAAGTAGTACCTGACTACAAGATAAATCTGTTCTTTTTTTTTAACATATTTTGTTTCATCTGCCATGATGCTAAAGACTTCACTGTTTTTCACTTCCTCTGTTATTTCAGATCGAACCATGTCTGCAAGACAACCCAGAACTTCATTCTGAATGGTTTTGCTTGTGTACTTTGCATTATGAATGGAAGTCAACCTTTCTTTAACAGCTTTGTCATGGTTAGCAATTGTCTCTAGAATGGTCATGAAGTTCCCTTTATTATCTGAGCCTGCAGACTCATTGTGTCCTTTTTGAGCAATGTTTTGTGTCGCAGTAAGTAGCAGCACTTCGGCTATGGTTTTTATATATTCCCGATTTTCTTGAACCAGTTTCTTATGTTCTTTGTTAAGTACATTTGCCAATGTTGCATTGGATGTCACAGCTCTCTGGTAGTCTTTCCATGCAATCATTGCGTGCGTGTGCCGCTCAGATTTGGCATGGATTGCAAATCCCCCCTCTTTGTATGTTGCCTTCTTCCAGTTTTTGAAACCTGAAGGTGAATCAAATAGTGTCTGTGCTATTCGGAGGGCTAAAATGTCTGCAGGCGTAACAATGAGCAGAGTCTGACATTTTGGAGTACTCAAGCCAGGGGTGAATCTTGTACCAGTCAGCCTTGAAACTCCTTCTCCGGTCGCCCATCCAGGTCCTTGGAAACAATTTAGGGTGTGGTTGCATTGGTGGCTCCTCTTTGCACTTGCTGATATCTGTGGAGAAAGATAACGCAAATAAATATGTTTATTATTATTATTATTATTATTATAATTGAAACAGATCATTATAAATGCACATTTACCAGAGCAATGAACAACCACAAATTAGATATCTATATGAATAGATTTATGACACAAAGCTGCTTTCTCCCTGTTATATTTGGTTAAGCCAGACAACAGGCTTTGGGATAAGATAAGGGCTTGCCCGGACTCAAACAATCTCGGCTGCCAACAATAAATATAATAATATTAATAAATAAATATAAATAAGCTATGAAGAAGCAGAAAAATAATTGTAATAATGTGCATATATATTTATATATATACCTATTTATTACACTTTTTTTTTGTTTTATAATAAAAAAGAGGGAAAAAATAAGTATATCTATATTATGAAGTAAATCATGTATAAATACAACTCCATATGAATACATAAAATGTAACTGACACTGTAATCCCCCTGCCCGCCACCCTTCATGTTATTGTCCTGTCCTATTTGTGATGTGTGTGAGCCATGTCCTCCGTATATTTTTGTCTTTGAAAATGTTTAATAAAATATAAATGTTAAAAAAAATGAATTAGTATCACACACACTCATTTGATCTGTAACTAAGATTAAAGCAGGCACATTTGTTTTTCAAAATCACAAACCTGATGTTCCAGTACTTGTGGATCTATCCTCTATCTCACTCTCGATTTCATCCTCAGCCTCACTCTGTGACTCCCCATCTTTCTCTGCCTGCTCTGAACCTTCAATTTCCAGATCAGTCTCTCCTGAAAAGTACTCCGGCTCTGTGGCAATCTGCACTTCCTGCTGTGTGTTACTGTCTGCCTCATCTTTTTTTTTTTGGGGGGCGAAAAAGGACATAATGTCCTTTTTTCGCTTCATTTTGAAACTATAGAGCAAGCACAAAGGAGGAGGACAACAATTCAGCAACGCAGAATATAAATGTATAACCGCTAGATATATTTCACAACTATATAGCTAGGGTGACCAGGTGTCCCGCTTAAAATAGAACGACATGGCGGGATGGTGGTGTAAAATGGAGCCTGGGACAAAGAAAATGCAGCTACAACAAAGCCTGGGAAGGTACTTATTATTGGGTAAAACCGGTGGATGGAGATTCCCAGTGGCGGCGGGTCATTAGGGGCAGGTGGGGCACAGCCCCACCTAGTGTCAGAAGAAAGTATTACAAATAATGATTACAAAAAAATACTAAAAAATAAATTAAAAAACATATAAAATATATTTTAAGGTCATGTTTAATAATCTGATTCGTCTGTACATTTCTGTTTTAGTCTGTGTTCTTCTAATTAGTGTCTAGAGTGCCGTTTTGATCTGTTTAGAGCCATGTGGGACAAAACCCGATCCTGCCCCTCCCTCTCACAGTCTAAGTGAACGGTGATTGTAAAAACTACACTGCGCATGCTCAGAGTATTTTTCTATTTAATGTGTGTGGCAAAAAAATAATGACCGTAGGGGCATAGTGCTCCCATCCCCACCATACGTCATCTCACATAATTCAGAATTGATTGGCTGTAAGTACTCACGTGTGCAGTGCTGCGAAACGTCACGTGTAGTTTGAAGAGGAGACGAGAGAGCAGCATATAGCTAACATCACCAGCGATTAAAAGAAGTAAAAAACTGAAAGAAAATGAATGAAGTTGACCATTTACTGGAGCACACATTTGAGACACTTAGTCTCGGAGAGAAACTGGAGGTAAAGCGCCTCGGTGACCACCATCCACCGGATTTCCAAATGGTCCAGACTGCGGGCAAAGTTAAACGTGGGTTTAACGCTGAGTGGTTTGCTAAAAAGAAATGGCTAACGGCGAGCATCCAGAAGAATTCCCTCTTTTGCTTTCCTTGCCTGCTTTTTGGTGAAGATCAAGGTACTTGGTCGAGGACAGGTTACAAGGACTTAAAGCATCTTTCGGAGAGGACAATGAAGCATGAGAGCAGCAACAGTCATTTGGAAAATGCCGTAAAATTGGGATTACTTGGAAGGGTGAATGTTGCAGCTCAGATTGACAGCGCCTACAGACGCGGCATTGATTCTCATAATAGGAAGGTGGAAGAAAACAGGTACGTGCTTGGTCGGATCATCACCTGTATTAAACTGTGTGGGAAATGTGAGACAGCACTGCGGGGCCACAACGAGTCGGCGGACTCTCTGAATCCAGGGATATTCAGGTCAATTTTCGAGACAATGTGTGAGGGCGATTCCAGGCTTCAACGGCACTACGAAGCTCAGCTTGTTTTCAAAGGGACATCAAGCACCATACAGAATGAACTCTTGGACTGCATGTATGATGTGTACAGGGAGGAAATAGCCAAGCAAGTGGACAACACATCATTTGTTGCCGTTCAGGCCGACGAGACAACCGATGTCTCCTGTAAATCGCAAATGGTGATTGTGCTGCGATACATTATGCCTGACCTCACAGTTACAGAGCGTTTTTTGGAGTTTGTGGAAGTAAAGGACAAAACTGGTGTAGGTCTCTCTAACAGCATCAAGGCTGTTCTGGAACCCCTGAAGCTGAAAGAAAAGCTAATCGCTCAGACCTATGACGGGGCGGCCGTCATGAGCGGTAACGTGCGCGGGGTACAGACGGTGATGAAGGAGACGTACCCAAACGCTCAGTTTGTTCACTGCTACGCCCACCAACTGAACCTGACCCTGCAGCAACTGTGTTCAGCAAGGATGAGCATCCTGAAGGTGTTTTTTGCAGATCTAACTGCTTTTTCCACTTTTTTCTCCGGTGCTCCAAAACGTGTTGCAGCTCTTGCAGAGGCAACACAGAGACGCATCCCACGGCCACCGGCTGTGAGATGGAACTTTAAAAGCAGAACTGTGAACGCGGTTTGGGAGACCCGAGATGCACTACTTCAGTGTATGAAGCATATACGCGCACAACCAGGATGGGATGCGGTCACCATAAGTGAGGCATACGGCCTGTCAAATAAACTGCGGGACCGAGCATTTATGCAGCTCCTGGAGTTTTTTTCCGTTGCTTATGCCAGAAGTGGATGTTCTATACAACACTCTGCAAAAACGAAGCATCGATGCACCTGGGATCAACAGCGCGCTCTGCCGTTTCAAGGAAAATGTTCAGAAAATGAGGCAGAAAACTGATGCATTGGCCGCCACTGCTCATGATGGAACAGACGAGCCAGGCCGACGAGTCAGCAGCACAGCGCCGGTGATGAAGGAGGCTTGTGACACAGTCATCTCACAGGTGGAACAGAGGTTCTCACAGAGTGACCATTTGATCGCTGCAAAGCTTGTTGACAGCTCATTCTTCCCACAGCATGTCCTGTCATTTCCTACACCTGAGCTTGACTGCGCCGTGAAACTGTGGCCTGCGTTGGGAAACAAGGAGAAGTTGAAGTCTGAGCTGACCACGCTCTACCGCCACAGTGAGCTTCACACTGGAAACACTGCCCTGTCTCTGTTGAAATCCATTCACGAGAACAACTTGGAGGAAAACGTTTGCTGAGACTGTTATTTTGGTCAAAATAATAGTGACAACTCCGATGACGACATCCGAGTCAGAGAGGAACTTTTCCACCCTCAAAAGGATAAAGACTTTCACTCGCAACACCATGGGACAGCCGCGACTTAACGCATTGGCCATGCTTTCAATTGAAAGCCAGTTGATCCAGCAACTACAGGACTTCATCCCCAAAGTGATAGACACATTCTGTCAGAGGAAGGACCGCCGTGCCGCTTTTCTTTTCAAGTGAGCCTTCAGCTTTGGTAAGTTCATTTATGTCATATATTTTGTTGATCTTCTGTGTTTTGCCTCTGCTGGATCGATTGATATTGTGACCTCGATGATGAGTGTCTGTGTTTTCCTTATATTTACAGTCTATGGTGTTTTAATGCTAAAGCATTACGGTTGTTGTTATTGTTAAGAATTACTTTGTGATGGTGACCTTTACTCCATGTATGAAGGTGCATTACTATGACATCCCCACGCTGTGTACGTAAATGTATGCGCTCACAGTGTTGCTCCTGTGGTCTTCAGTATGTAATTTGACACTCCCCCTCTCTCTCTCCTCCCCCCCTCTCTCTGTCCCCCCTCTCTCTCTCCTCCCTCTCTCTGTCCCCCCCCCCCCCCCCTCTCTCTCTCTCTCTCTCCCCCGACCTCTTTCTGCCCCCCCAGTTTTGTACACCTAGAAACGCCACTGGAGATTCCACCCAGAGCGTGTTCTGGCTCGGTTCGCTGACGGCCGGCACCCCCCTTTATTATTTATTTATTTTAAACGGCATCATTTAAAGGTGGGGTAGGTAAGTTTCAGAAACCGGCTCGAGTGCACTAACATTTGAAAGTACACAGCCGAAAAGAATCCGCCCCTTCCTTACAGAGCGCCTCCTCCAACACACATGAACGCGCACATGAAAGTTCAGGGGAATTGTAAACCATACAAAACAGATAATTACCTGTCCAAGAGAAAAAGAGCGACCACGGCGTCAGATTTCAACTCGGTGTGTTCCATCAGTAGTCGCCATCGTTGAAAAGCAACTCCGATATTGACTCTGGTTTGACTTCTCCTAGTTTCCACTTTCTTTTTGTTCTTAATTTGCTCCGTTAAATGTTTTCTTTTGCGACCAGTAGACGATGTTAAACCTAACTCTGCCGTGGTGAAAGTGGTCGCCTGTTGCTGGCGAGTCATTGAAGTACTGCTGCAATGCACGCCCAATGACTGCACGCCCAATGAGGGCACGAGATACATTTGTGCGTGCACGAGATGGGAGGCTGACAGACAGGGCGGCAATCCAATCCATTTAGCCGGCCCGGCTAAACGGATTGGTTGTACTTTTTACAGTATTACGGCTTCCACAGATGACATTTTTGTATGGATTTTTTGTCAAAGCACTTCAGATATGCATTGCTATCGGGATGTTAAGAGCATTCCATGGAATATAACAAGTGTATCTCGAGCCGGTTTCTCAAACTTACCTACCCCACCTTTAAGGCGCTGACATGTCATGTGACAGATGATGAAAGCAAACTGTTTGCTGTCGCTGACTACTTTGCACACTACGTTAACTAACGTTAGTCAACAACAACACTTACTGACCTAAAGTCTTACCTTGTAACAATTACACGGATATAATAGTTTAACTCACCTTCAATTATCGTGGTGGTGGTCTCTGGAAACGTAGGTTTCAATCAGTCTTTCACTCTTTCTTGGATGCACAACAGCCTCTGATGATCCGAGATGAAAAGTGTTTATTTTTCGCGCGCTTCAGCCGCACAGTGAAAGCGAGTGCACCGCTCTAATGGGTCCTGAGTGCACCGCTCTAATGGGTCCGACTAGAATGACGAATAACGTTAGTTCCGCCTATTCCGCAATTCAATAAATCATAATTATTTTTTTTTCACTTTTCATTGTTAGGGGGGCCACAGGGGGGTCAGAGGTCAGTGTTAGGGGGGCACTGGCCCCCCCTGACCCCCCCCCTAGAACCGCCCCTGATTGAATGTATTGATTTAATATGCTAAAGTGAGTGATAAACATGTTACACTTACGCTTCCCTGCCATACAAATACTAAAGAAATCTAAATATCACACAACTATATGAATAACTATTGTCAACTTGTCCCTTTTTAGAATTATATTTTTTAAATATCATCTGGCTTTTATTTCATTCATACGAAACGTATTGCAACATCATGGCTGGTGTTGATGAAGGGGTGTGAGATTGTCTTATGCAAGAGTAAATGTCAGAACAGTTCACTATCGAGGCCCAAACCTGATGTGTGGGCGAACAGAAACTATGGGTGAAAAATGATTCAAGAGAAAAAAAGCAGGTACTTATGATTGTTAAAAAGTGCATTTATTGAATTCATTCTTTTGGCACTTCAATTATCATCATTGGTCACACAGTTAACATTAAACAAAAGTGAGCATCGCAGTACTTCTGCAGCTGAAGAGTTATGTAAAAATTACTGCCCAGCAGAAATTCAAAATGTTATTATTAAAAGAGCAGTTCTTAAGAATGTTTAAGCGGTTGTGATTTTTTTTATGAGTACATTTCTTAAAATAATAATAATAATAAAATAAGTAATAATATGATTTTTAAGGAATGAATAAATATAATTTCAAATGACATTTCAATTTGGACAAATAACCCCTAATATGAAAGTAAGACATTTTAGGGGAGATCATCAGGAATTGAGAGTGTAAGATAATACTGTGATAGTCTGAGATGCTCACAAATTGTTTTGTTTGTTAGAACAATATAACACAATTAAATTGGATAAAATATTTCACATAAAGGTGACATACAGTATAAGAAATATAAAAAAAACATGCAAACAGACAGCACCATGGTGAGACTAACGAAAAGCAGCTTTGGCAACAACTGAGATTTTCTTTAAAGAAAGGAGGAGAAAAAGGTTCAACTTCAACAGCTCAAGGCATTGTCAGTATAATGAATTGTTTCAAACATGCAGTAAGCTTTAAATGCATAAAACGTTTTTTTTTTTTTTAAATGACATCATAAACTTACAAAGAAGGGGTTCAAAGATTGGACATAAAATGATATCTTAGTTAAAGTTAAAGGTAACCACTGAAGAATATCATTCAATCATTCTTCCGCTCACTGGTGTTCTCTTTGGCTGCGTCACTAAGTCTCGATATATTGCTCCTAATGCAACGTCTCAGGTACTGTATCATGTACTCATTTTACCAGATGTCTAATTTCATTTCAAAGTCATAATTTGATCTGGCTGTTCATTTTGGCAAAAGGTACCGGAGTAAGATTTCAATCCTTACTTAAGGTCTTAGGGTTTGCTTTTTTTTCACAAAACAAATGCATCAGTTGAGTAGTCTTTACACGCACGTTCAGAGTTCTGCCAGCTCCACACATTATTGCTAGGGCTTTTTCTCGAGGTAATTTGAGGGAACCCATCCTTTCCTAGGTCTGCCACTGTCCAGAATCTTGCAGTACCACCATCCATTGGGGTTTCTGTCAAGGACCTCCAGACTTGTCCCCTCAGGAAACCCCATGGTCTCCTCATCGCCATGATAATCTGCTATGGAGACAAACACCTCTTTGAGGTTGTTATGGATGATGTGGGGCTTTGGTTTAACGGTGGATACAGGGAAGGCATTCCTCGGAGAGCCAAGGCCAAGAGATTCAGAGCTACCATTAGCAGATCTGTTCCTTTGGGGTAGTGCTATGTTGTTTGGCGGCAAGCTGCGTGGCACAGTGCCGAAGGAGGCATTGCGTCGCACCGTAGGGCTGGCACGAGGGTGGTCTGTGGAGTTGAGGGACTCGTTTCTCCTGAGAGAGCCAACAGGGCTGGCACCGTCCCTGATCGGGGCCGAAATGAAGACGGACTGAGGTCTGACCACCTGCTGCTGTTTGGTGCTATTCTGCTTCCGTGAACCAAACAAGCCGATGGGTTTTGAAAGGCCACCTGGAGGCTTGGATGGAATGGGTGGGGTGACTTTCTTAAGGTTTTGGTTTATGTTGTTCAACGCCTGCACCCTTTGTTCATTCTTCTCTAGGCTGTTGGACTTGCTGATGCTTCCAGGTTTAGTTGGGGTGCCATCAGATTCAGACCCTGCCATGTCATCTTGTTGCCTGACTGGCTCCAAGAAGTAAGTCGGGGCCCAACCCTCTGTGTCTCCCCAGCGGATATACCACCAGCCACTCTCCTGCTTCTCAAGCACTTCCACCTCCACATTAGCTGGGAAGCTGATCTCAGTCTCTTGGACCTTCTCATAGGGATTGGTTGTGCGATACAGGCTGCCACCTTCCAGATCAGAGTCTCCCCGGCTGCCTTTAGAGTAGATGGAGGAGAGATCGGACGTGCTCTGAGAAGAAAAGGAGTCCTCTGAGGAAATAACAGAAGCTGTCTCAGAGTCCTCACCCTTGGTTTTGGTGCCATTCTTCAGCTGACCTATTGGCCGCAGCTGTCTCCTCAAGGAACTGATGTCCATCTTCTCTGCACTGGAGGCCTTGGCTAGTTGTGGTTTAGGCCTCACTACTGGCTTTGGTTTGGAGGAAGACTTGATGGAAAAGGATGCCTTGCTTTCCTCTTGGTCTTTCTTAGTTCTAGACAGATCTGGGGTGGACTCAGCAGAGGCAGATTTAGGACTGGATGCCTCCTCAGCTTTGGGTGAAAATGGGCCCCCATTTAAGTCTATCTTGAGCTTGTGACCTGCAGATCTCCATCCCCCTGATGTTGGGTTTGCAGTCTTGCCAGTTTCTGACAAGACACTTGTCTTGGAGGAATTTGAGTCTCTGCTGCACTGCCGTTCTGGTGTCTCCCTGAAAGGCAGAAAGCCGTCATTCTCATAGATACACTCTGCCTCCGCCTCCGCCTCCCCCTCTGCCTCGTGGCCATCTTCAAAGGAGTTACACATCTTGAAGGATGCACTATGGAGTGACGATGCCGGAGAAGGCTTGGAGGACAAGTGGGATCCTTTCTCTGAGGATGTTTCCCCGTATTTTACATCCACCAAGGAACCTTCTCCCCTCAGAAACTCAAACTCAGACTCCATGTCCAGATCTCCAATGGCAGGTACATCATATTCTGGCTCTTCGTACACCAGCCTTCCTGGAGACACAGGGGACTCTGGAGCTTCAGATGCGGGGCTGCTGGGAGGTGCAGTCTCAGAGGAGTCTTGTTTTTTGACAGGCGGAGCTGGTGGTGGAACTTTTGGGCGGCACAGAGTGCTTGTTCTGCGATTCAGGTTGGGCTTTTTACGTTTGTCAATGTAGGAGCAGGGAGCCCAGCCTTCCTTCTCTCCGATATGGACGTACCACCAACCACCAGAGTTCTTCTCAATAACCTGAAATAGATATTAAAAAAAATGTTAAGCCTGCATTTCAAAGGCATTTTTATACATTTAAAGGTGGGGTAGGTAAGTTTCAGAAACCGGCTCGAGTGCACAAAAATTTGAAAGTACACAGCCGAAAAGAATCCGCCCCTTCCTTCAGACTTCCTTACAGAGCACCTCCTCCAACACACATGAACGCGGACATGACGTCAGCAGACTGGTGAAAGTGGCCGCCTGTTGCTGGCGAGTCATTGAAGTACTGCTGCAATGCACGCCCAATGACAGCACGCCCAATGAGGGCACGAGATACATTTGTGCGTGCACGAGATGGAAGGCTGACAGACAGGGCAGCAATCCAATCCGTTTTGGTTGTACTTTTTACAGTATTACGGCTTCCACAGATGACGTTTTTTTATGGATTTTTTGTCAAAGCACTTAAGATATTCATTGCTATCGGGATGTTAAGAGCATTCCATGGAATATAACAAAAAGTGTATCTCGAGCCGGTTTCTCAAACTTACCTACCCCACCTTTAAGATTTGTCTTTTTATTTTGATATTCTCTTATAATCGAAGGGTTGTTGTAACTGAGCTATGATGAGAGCAATAATACAACAATACATAAATATCGGTTTGCAAATGTATGAAGGAAGTTAACATTGAAAAGAGTGCTTACCTCTGCTTTCTCTCCTCCATTGAAAGTGATACCATCAGATATACAGGACTGGAAATCTGCAATGGTGTAATACTCTGCTTCAACTGTAGGGGCCTCTGGTGGGGAGGGCAACTGAAATCCCTGAACACAAAATAAATCATCACTGTTAGTGGCACCATTAACTGAATCCAGTTTTTAGATACTTTTGCTATACTTGAGAATTGTTATTTCATGCTGCACTTCATTTAAGAGGGAAATATTGAGATATTGTATTTTTACTTCACTACATTTAACTGATAGTGACTAGTTATTTTCAATCAAGATAAGGGATCAAGCATAATATAGGATAAAGACCAGTTTAGACCTTCTTGACTTGTGGCCCCTTGAAACATTTAAAATGTCTACAGTTAAGTTGGACAGATTTCATCCTCACAACTTTCAGATGGTCAAATAAAACTTCATGGCAGAGTTAGCTTTTGAGAGGCTGCTCACACACTTACCAGGGTTGCGTCTCTTCTGGGAGGAGGCTTTTGCCTGAGAACTGGGGAACCTGTGAAACAAACAAAGGTAAAAAAGTACCTGATTATTTGGTCACTTTTGAGAATAGACACTCATTAAGAATAAGATAAAAAAATTCATTTTAGTTTATGATTTATTTGTAATCTACTGTAACAGGCTAATTTCAAAATACACAACTTACCAATTTCCACCCTATGAGGAGCGATGCGAGCTATAGCCGGTGAGGCAGGCTCTGCTTTACTTTTTCCATCTAGTGGGATATTAACAGGGCTGGAGTCAGCACAAGGCATTGGGAGGCTGATCTCCTTCTTGGCCACTTGGGGGCTCTCTGGGACTCCTTCAATCTGCACATCTTTCTCACTCAAGGCTTTCTTGTTCAGCAGGTTACTAA